ACTCTGACTTTGTCACACAATAAACATTACGTAATATTCATTTTGAAAAAAGTATGTCACAAATAATGAACCTATACACAAAAGAAATTGCAGAAAAGCTAGATTTAAATCGCACGAAGCATCATGGAAAAATTTTGTGTTGTTCACTTATCCATTATAAGTCTTCCACTGTTACTTTCCATATACTCATTTTTGAGTAACTTCTTTATGTTACTAAATCCATAAAAATTACGTTATACATGTATACTAGACTGTTCGTGTATTTTAGACGTATATTAATAATATAGTTACATATATTTAACTTGTCAAACTTTTTTCCATATTTTTTTTAATTGTTTTCATTTTTTACTATATTAGGCTCAAAGACGAAGTTTTGGAAATAGAAATTTAAAATTACAGCGGAAATAAGCCCCGCAAAATATTAAAAAAAAAAATTAAGCTTATATAGTATTATTTCAGTATTGTTGAACAAGTTTTAGGTATTATTTAAACAAATCTTATATGAATGACATACTTGTTACACGAGACGTTGCATGAATATCATGATTTTGTTCGCTGTGAAATGGTGATGTAAGTTTATAGGGCACTCTGTCTTATTTTTATAGCTATAAACAAATTATTTTTTCGCTTACGTATCACATCGCTATGCATACGTAATATGTATAATATATATTTATGCCTCTGTGTATGTAAATAATACATACTCTGAATATGAACACTGTAGTTTATGGTACAAGGTACCGTGACTTTTTTTTAGGTTTTTTTATTTTTTGTAATAACTTGATTTTTAATCAAGTTCAAGCTCGTAATATTGGACATTTATTGCAAGAAAAATATTTTCCAATTGTTAAAAGACAAATATTTTAAATTCAGTCAATTATTTACTATGCACTACTAAAATGCATATCAATTTAATTTTATATATTCTTTAGAATTACGAGCATATTATCTTTTAGACAAAGAGTGCCCTTTATTTCTTACAAAAGGGATTTTACATTTGTAACAAATTACTGTGCTGTTTGTTGTTGAATTTCTATTTTTTCTACCGTCATGTCGGGATTCATAGCAGTTGCCTCTTGAATTGCTTCTGCCAAAGCTCGGTCATGATCAATTGGATCACCGTCTGATTGTATTGTTATTTTCTGTTCTACGCGCGTTTCTACAACTCCATCTCTTTCAGTTTTGTACTGAAAATACAGTGATGCATACATTTAACGTCATCATATTAAAAATTAAGAACTACAGAATATTCTCCACAAGTGTCAAACCGCAAGGAAGCTAAACCTGACACTCATAGAGTCAGGGACTACGTTTTCGAGCCTCGCGCCCGCCTTTGTAGTTTGCCGAACGTAGACAAGGACAGCGAATAAAAGATAAGCATGAAAAGTGAGTCGAGGCAACCAAGCGATTTAAATATCAACTTTTTTAATTTTACGTTTTTTTATCCCGAAATTTTTCTTAACATATTGATGAGATATTTCTGATGAAAGTGATATCAAACACGATATAATTTGAACAACATTTACTTATTAACACGTTCACTGTTACGCCAGATTTACAGGTTGCTGTCAGGCGGCCACAAGAAAATACATTTTAAGCATAGGATTATAGTACTGCTTTATAATTTCTTTTTTCAATTGAAAATAATGTCTAGCTTGCTATGACGTTCAAAATTTTTAGTTGACAACATTTATTTTATTTTAATTATTCTAAACATTTGAGGCACTCCAATCACTGATGACCAACATGGCCATATCGAGGAAACAATCTAACGTTAAAACTTATTGAGTGATTAATTTAATTTCATAATATATCGCTTTAGCGAGCCACCGCTTGGTTGCCAATTGTTTATCACATAGTCGGCCTACCTCCACGTAAAAAAAAAAAAAAAATGTAGGGTCGATTCGACAAGTGTCAGTAAAATGTAGGGTCGGCCTATATCCACGTAAAAAAAAAAAAATAGGATCGATTCCACAAGTGTCAGTAAAATGAAGGGTCGATAGCAGCAGAAAAGCTGCTAAACAAATAGAATTAAATGTAACGATAGAAATTATTGCAATAATGCGTAATGCAATTGAAAAATTGAAAGAGTCAAAAGAAAAAACGAGAATTCATATCTTTCTCGGTTCTAGAATAGAAGAAAATTTGAATAAAATACGCGACAAGAATTGGGGAGAAGCATAAGTTAAACGCGTAAAAATATTCAATAATAAACGAACTACGGATGAAACTATTATTTCAATACGCGATGCACTGACTCTAGTATTTACTAAAATTCAAAAATTCTCGTATAAATTCCGAAAATAGATTATTAATTACGGTAAACTACTGAGACGGTTTAATTAAGGGTGGGCATGGTGCTGCTTTAGTTTGAAATGATTTATAAACACATAATTAACAGAGGAAAAACCGTGAAACGGCAAAACGTCTACATTCTAATTGTTATAACATGTAAACAGAACTTTAAATTTAGTGTAAACAGAAAAAATATATAATACAATTTATTTCACGGTATTGCAACAAATAAACGTTGAATAAATATTTAATTCGTATAAAAACAATTATTTAACGTAATAATTTTACCTTCACTATGGCTATTTTTAATCTACGACCACAGGTCAACCTGATATCTAATCCTTACGAACTTTAAATTCAGTCTAAACTGAGAAAATATATAATACAATTTATTTCACGGTATTGCAACAAACAAACGTTGAATAGATTCTTAATTCGTATAGAAACATTTATTTAAAATAATAATTTCACCTTCACTATGGCTATTTTAAATTTACGACCAAGGGTCAACCTGATTTTTAATCCTCCGAACTTGATTTCACAACGAGAAAGTAATAAGATCGTTGAAACGTACTTATTTGTCAAAGAAACTTGCAAAAATGTATAAATAATAATATGTAATGTTTTAACAAATTTTTGGAAGTATAAATTAATAATAAAATTGTGAAAATTAATAAATTATACGTTATTATAACATTAATAGAATTATGACTAAACCGAAGTTCGAAGTCGAGTATTTAAAGTCTGATATTACGTGCCTAGCGAGTGCCGGTAATTGTTAAAATTTGTTTAATAATTAGTAATAGAAATTCTAATTGATTCTAATGTATACAAGTGTTACAAGAAGGCTGAGTGTGTACAGGGTGGACATAGACTAGCTAGTAGCCCCCGACCACTCTATTCACATCTCAGAACCTTCAGGTCAAAATACGCCGCGAAGTGTCTAGGGCCCAGTATAAAGGGTAAATGATTTCGCGGGACATCGGCGGGTCCTTATATACCTGCGGTACCCTCTCCCCAAAGTCATTAGCAAAATCGTCGGTTAGGTCAGGCGGGAAATTTTCGCGGGAGATTTTCGCGGGAGATTTCCGATATCGTAACACGGTATAATTTATCAATTTTCACAATTTTATTAAAAATTTATACTTCCGACAATTTGTTATAACATTGCATATAACAATTTATACGTTTTTACAATATTCTTCAATGGAAACATAGGTTTTAGCGTTCTCGTTACTTACTCGTGGTTAAATTAATTTCGTAGGGATTAAAAATCAGGTTGACCTGTGGTCGTAGATTAAAAATAACCATAGTACAGCTAAATTTATCGTGTTAAATAATTCTTCTTACACGAATGAAAAATGTATTCAACGTTTGCTTGTTACAATACCATGAAATAAATTATTTGTGCAGTTCTGTGCATTTTCTGTGCAGTTCAACCTAATTTACTTAAATTTACATTGCGAGACAGTATACTGTAACAAGTAGTAACAAGCAAACGTTGAATAAATTCCTAATTCGTATTAAAAAAATTATTTAACACAATAATTTCAGCTTTATTATGATTATTCTTGATAAATGACCACAGGTCAACTTGATTTTTAATCGTTATAATCTTTAAATTCAGTGTGAATAGAGAAAATGTGTAATATAATTCATTTCACGATATTATAACAAACAAACGTTGAATACATTTTTGATTCGTAGGAAAAGAATTATTTAACACGATAATTTTAGCTGTACTATCACTATTTTTAATCTACGACCACAGGTCAACCTGATTTTTAATCCCTACGAAATTAATTTAACCACGAGTAAGTAACGAGAACGCTAAAACCTATGTTTCCATTGAAGAATATTGTAAAAACGTATAAATTGTTATATGCAATGTTATAACAAATTGTCGGAAGTATAAATTTATAACAAAATTGTGAAAATTGATAAATTATAGTTGAAAAAATTATTACTTATTTTTGAAATTTTTGAATTTCCGAATGTTGGAAGAATTGAAGTTGAAAAGACGATTACTCAGAGTCTCAAGTATTGAAAATAAATTTAAATCATCGCTGAACGATATTGAAAACTTTCCTGTTACATAGTTTTCGGAGAGCAGGAAAATATGTAATCGAATTGATACATGCATCAAGATATTCTTTTAAATTTATAAAATATAATTTTTGAATAATTCCTACATTTCTGCATAATGAGAGTTAACAAATATTCACAAGAAACCGTCACTGGGAATCTTCAATGAAAAATTTCAATTTCAGTTGTGCACCCTTTCCTATCTTTACAAAAATCAAAATACGCTAACACACTTTCTACAATAAGTTTAAATAAAAATAAAGAGATCCAAGTGATAAATTTATCACGTTTATTTAATCACTTTTCTATTCGTCTCATCGACATTAACGATATGTCGGCAACTGTCGATAACTTATCGATAATCTTTAACAGTATACCCCAAATTCACATTGCCTGTGTGACTAATCAAACCTAACCCAGAACCACATAATCTACTCATTCCACGAATGCTCCATTTAAAAATTCCCCAACGAACATTTTTCTCTTTTTTTTTTTACACACACTGTTGGTAGAAAAGAAAATGGTCATTCTAGACGTGTCAATGGTGTCACTCGTTCGAACAGACGTCAAACAAGCGTCGTCGTTGTCGACGTAGCGCGCGCGACCAATCCAATTTCTCCGTTCCAACGAACCGTTTAAACGGTACACGACGAAGTCATTAAGTCATCTCATTACGATGAAGCTCGTATCTGGATTAATGGACGGGCTGACGTTTCGCTCGTTCCTTACACAAATTTCCCGCGCGCATTACTCGAGTGTCACTTATCGCGCTGGCGCGACCTCCGTCTTTAATTCGTATACACGGATATCACTTTACGCCAGACCTAATGTCACGAATTAATTAAACTTTCGGTCGTCGGTTGGCCTAGCCCTGGAATACGCTTCTTCAGTGACTCCCAAAAATACTCGGATGTGAACGAAACAAGCGTTGAACACTGTGCAGGTGAAAATATTGTAAATATTACAAATATTCATTTTTCCCGAGTGTCTAAAAGTATAATTTCAATAAATCGTGTGTTACAATGTCGTATTCGAAACAATATGAAATTCTGAAGTATAGTAAAGGACGTTTCGTAACGAAAACGAATAAACCAAATCCTTTCACAATTAACAGAAATTTATCGGTAGAAAGGCAAGGTTATGCAGTGACCGAATATTTTGAAGAGTGACTGTACGTAGTGATGAGCTCTGGAACACTTTGAATCGCTTTGAATATGATTCGATACTTGAAACTCTTGAAAATCTTGAATCTTAAGTTTTGATAGGTCTTGAGTCTTTAAAGTTTCGATACCCCTTGAAAGTTCAGATAGGCTTCAAACTCTTGACAGTTTTGATAGGTCTTGAAAGCACGGTGAGTATTCAATATTTTTCATGTTTCGTGTCAACGATGCTGCTTGGACAAAGGCGTTCGAAATGCTTGCAAGATTGTTGAGTACTCGCCGAATTTTCAAGTGCTGTCAAAACGTACGAAACTTTGAAACCTATCAAGACTTTCAAGACATATGGAAATTTTGAAGAACCAAGATTCAAGACTTATCAAGAATTTTATAGACCTGTCGAAACTTTATCGAGACTTTCTATTATTTTAAGTATCGAATCAGGTTCAAAGTGACTCGAATTTTGACAGTATTAAGAAACTTCGAATCGCCTCGAAATTAACCCTTCGCACTCCGTTGTCGCCGCCGTGGCGACATTGTAAGTGGAACTAACTGCTCCATTGTTGCTTCTGCAGCGACATTGTAAGATATATTTTTAAGAAAAATTGAATGCTTACAAAGTATCTTCCACAGAGGCGCACTCGCACCATTGTAAAGAGTCTCGGAGTACAGTAATGTCTCCACAAGTGTCAGTCCGCAAGGAATCTAAACCTGACACTTGTAGAGTCAGGGACTACGTTTTCGAGCCTGGCGCCCGCCTTTGTAGTTTGCCGAACGTAGACAAGGACAGCGAATAAAAGATAAGGATGAAACGTGAGTCGGGGCAACCGAGCGATTTAAATACCAACTTTTTTAATTTTACGTTTTTTTATCCCGAAATTTTTCTTAACATATTGATGAGATTTTTCTGATGAAAATGACATCAAACACGACATAATTTGAACAACATTTACTTATTAACACGTTCACTGTGGGGCGTGACAGATTATATCGTGTTTGATATCATTTTCATCAGAAAAATCTCACCAACATGTTAAAAGAAATTCCAGATGAAAGAAAGGAAAATTAAAGAAATTATATTTTTCTATTATGATTTGTCGAGCCGTGTAATCTCGTAAAGGAAACCGACTGTTGTAGCGTTACACGCTTGACTGACTGCGAGCGAGATAACATGGGCGCAGCAATGACGTAGACCTAGGGCGTAGGACCATCTATACTGTCACTTGTAGAATCCTACCTTACTGACTCTTGTAGAGAATTTACTGTATATAAAAAATTGAAATCTTACCGTTATCGTTTCAACAGTACGAGTTTTACTGGATATTGTCTGAGAACTGACAATTTCTCCAGTTGCACTGTACATACCATCTTCACTCTCAACAGCTACTGTCCTAGTTTCAGTTGCTACTATCGGTACCGTAGTAGTTGTTGTTACGTTCTTCTCTGGTTCTCCTTTGTAAACATGTGTTTCAGTTTCAACTACACCAGCTGGATCACCCTGAATCAAATTCGTACAATGTTTCTTTTCCAAAACAAAAGAAAACAAAAAAAAAAGAAGAAGAGAATTAACTGATATATCTAATGTAAAAATAATATATGTAATCGATACTGTACAATTATATTAATATGTTACAAACACGTTAAACAATACAAAGAACCAAAGCATTATTAAAGTATTATAGACCTTATGTTTCTTTTATCAACTAATGGTGAGTACCTTAAAACCAGTGCCTTTAAAATGATGAGTAAATTAGATTTTCCATGATAATTTTATGAATGTCATTTTTTATATTCCCGTGAATGTTAATGAAGAAATACCAACATGAAATGAATGCTGATGAAAAGTATATGATGTATCAATTAAATGATAAAAATAATGTACACACTTGTGTGAGCAAATTAGCATTAATAGCATTGTTCTAAGAATTTCTATTCGTTTTAAAGGTATTTTTTGTACAGTAAACATACTTGAATTATATACCTTGGTGGAGATTCATCCTCAGAACTAAATTCTTAAAATAACATTTTAATCTAGACTCTTTTCTATAGAAATGTAACTTTTTCACGCAATTCCGTCATCCCTGAAAAGATTTACCTGATAGTATTGATTGTAGAAAGCCTGCTGATCATCTTCAAGGTCAATTGGAGTACCTGAATCATCACTGCTTGAACTGGATGTACTGAGTCTTCGTAAGAACAGCTACACCATGCAATGTGTTAACCAAGCCGGCAAATTTAATTACAAAAATTTAAAAAAAATAATTAAATGAAAAATAGCATTT